TATACCAGCGTAAATTTTTTGGCTCATCTCATGTTTTATCTTGTCTTCAGTCCCTCTGCATCCTACAGCAGTTAGTTCTACAGAGATGTTTGAGAATAAACATTCTGAGCTGGATCTTCTCTGATGCCATTTTATTTCAGCTTATTATGAGACTGGGCTAAAGCCAACTGTAAAATTTAGATCTGGGTTAAGTTTCTAAACCCTGCCAAAGATTAGGGTGGTCTGATCCAAACTTTTGTTTCAAGTCTCTCTCTTCTCTTTTATCAGAGACACATGGGGAGGTGGTTCTTCAGCATTTTCTGAAACATCTTTCATGCTTCAAGAAGTAATCTTTAACTACGGATCTTTTTCATAAAACAAGCAGAAAATATACTGTGGAAAAATCCGTCAGATAAGGGCAACGAGTTTGATTAAATGTTGCTGCTGAAACAATTCTGGAGGTGTCCCCACATTTCCCATCTCCACTTGGATGTCCTCTGCTACGAGAAGGTCTCTCTGCCATACCTGTCTGCAATGGCTCACCACTGATGAGCAACAGACAGGGCTTTGGGCCGGCCTGTAGCTGGTCCTCAGGGGTAAAAGGAAGCATTTGGCAGGTCCATGCTCCTGGCACAGTGGCTCTCCGGCAAGCATCTTTTGGTTAAGCCAGCAGTGCTTTTGGCAGACATGGGGGAGCGAGGGAAGGTGGTGTCTCACATGGCTTCCTACTAGGGTTGCCTTGCGTAGCTGCATGCTGTGTGCTACATGGCTACCATCTGCAATTGGGGAAACCTGTCTTCTGCTCAAGGAACCATGCTCCCTGATGCCCTCTGTGAGGAGCTCTCCCTCCTTGAGTGGTGACAAACTGCCAAAAAACAGCTGGAAAGTAGCAGAAAAGTCTCCCTAAAACCACACACGACTTCACTGATTTTATTTCCCTATAGACTTCCTACTTTAATACCTCAGGACACTAAAATTATGCCTCGTACCAGTCTAGCCTTGAAATATTGTTATTAAGCCGGGCATGAAATACCTTCCAGTTCCTAGGTTAATGTGAAACAAAATAAAAACAAACAAACAAAAAAACAACTGCCTTGAACGTCTCAGGAAATCTTGGCAAGGGCCCATAGCAAAGAACATTTTTTGTCGATCAAAACATTTCATTTTAATGTCTATGTGTAAAAAGACATAATTCCTATGTCTCTGTACCACAATTTCTTCTTCCTAAGTGACTGCCAGAAAATCCCCAAATCCTATCCCACAAAAAAGAGAACTAGGCTGAGTTTTAGTTTACTTTTTTTAAATGAGAAATTGATCTTACAGCTGATAAACTGGAATTTTCTCATGAAAAGCATGTAGTTGTACAATTTCAGCCAGCTCTGCTCATCTTTAAGCACTCTCAGAGTGCACGAGGGTGAGATCACAGTGGGGACAGCAAAGCTGCAGATGGGAGCAACGTGGAGACCTGGCACGGTTCCCACTGGGAAGGGGATGAAGTTATGGGGAGAGAAGCCAGTTAGGTAAGGCAGCTGCCCTATCCCCTTCTCAAACCTAATGGCTGATGTGCTGACCGCGTTTTTCCCCAGAAATGAAGCAACAGTCTGACACACATCATGGCGTTAACCTTTAATTCTCCTTCTGGTGACTGTAAATGCTGTTTCCCTTTCTTCTGCTCTCTCGGTGCCCAGTAACTCAACCTCTTTCTACCGCTTCAGGTGTCGTATTCCCTTACTCTCCACGGCTGGGTCGTTACAACTTAAACTTCCATGAGGCTCAGCGAGCATGTCTGGACCAAGACTCTGTTATCGCCTCCTTTGACCAGCTCTACGATGCCTGGAGGTCAGGGCTGGACTGGTGTAACGCTGGCTGGCTCAGCGACGGGTCCGTGCAGTACCCCATCACCAAGCCCAGGGAGCCCTGTGGAGGGAAGAACACAGTGCCTGGGGTCAGGAATTACGGGTTCTGGGACAAAGATAAAAGCCGATACGATGTTTTCTGTTTTACTTCAAACTTCAACGGTAAGAGCCTTCTTCACCACTACCTTGTAAATGACTGTTTCTGTGCTTAGGAAAGAAACTCCAAAGGCAGAAAGTGATATTTGATTTGTCAAAGCTTATGTTAGGTTTGGAAAATGTTATTGTTGAATTTACAAGGACACATGCGCAGAGTGTCTTTGCCACATGTTCACGTAGACCGTTTTTACAATTCAGAACTCGTATTGGCAGGACTTTCTAATATCTCCACTTTCACCCCGTTAAAATTTATATGTACTCTTTTAAAGTTGATATATGCCCGGTTTATTTCAGTTAAAGTGATGATTCATTAATTGAGCTTTCCTGTTGAATTCAATTATAAGTATGATGTTTTACAACTTAAATATATCACCAAAACAAAATTCTGATCATCACTTCATCCATGCTGTTGTGTCAAGCAGCTTCTGCTCATGTAGCAGGTCTAATATGACTAATTCTTCCTTATCGGCAAAGCTATTTCTAGCTTTTATGCCTAATAATTTAGATTCCTAATCTTAGTACACTGCCAAAACCCTGTTCACTTTTGCTCTGAGGTTGGTCTGCTCTAAACCTTATTTTAGTGACTGCAAGCTTTTTTGCTATTAGTAGATGTCACTTTAGGTATGAAATGACTTGATCTCAGCTTGCTATCATTTCAGGTTTAATCTAGAGGCTGAAAAGGATTTAGAAAACACGGCTGTGAATGAGAGGAATGCTTCAAGTGAACATGTGCAAAAAGAGTCTACAATCCTCTATAGCATCATACTTGTGGATAATTCCCGTGCAACTTTGCACATGTTTGGCTTACAGCCCACCCAGACCAAGGAGCATGGCCTTTTCTGTTTATGCATAGATTGCTTATCCACAGTGAAGCACTTTTGTCCTACAGCACATCAAAAAATAAACATAAGCCTTGCTCTCAGAAGATATGCTCTAGTGCTAAGTCTGCTCCACCCTCTCAAAAAAACCCCAAATCCTCAAACCAACGATATTAAATTAGGCTGGATGAGGTCTGAGAAAAACGTTTAGCAGATTTTTACCATGCTGCATCATTCCATGAAATGCTGGCTCATTTTTTTCTTACTTCTTTTATCCAAAGCAAAATCCTACATGAGCTCATCCGTTATATGCAGATTTAGCCCTGTACTATAGAAATAGCACCAAGGAATAAAATAAACAAGGAAAAAGAATTAAAAAGTGTGATAGCTGCACTATTTATAATGCTTGAAGAGTAAACGTTTGTGACTACTGATCACTAATCACCACCCTTTTCCACACTAGCAGCTGGAGAGTATCTCTTAAGGAAAGAGAAAAATAATTCCTGACAAAAAAAAAAAAACAAACATACTGAGAGAGAAATATTGTCTGTGCATTGATACAGCAAGAGAGAGAAAGAGGGAGAAAGAGGAATGAGGTAAGGTGAGGATAAAGTATACAGGTAGTAAAGAAATCAAAGACAAGCCACTAAAATGAATCTTATCCTTGGTGAGTCTGCTAAACTGACCTGCAAGACAGAATACTACACAGCCATAGGATGATATACAGATACACCATCTTTTCTAGTTCCCTACAGCTCGGTGCCGTGTAAGTCTCTCAAGGCATCAGCAGAAAATCTGGATTCTGCTTCTCTCAGTGTCCATTTCCTTAACCAGCAACTCACCAGGTTACGTTATCCCCACATGTCCCTGCTATGTTCCCCACTATTCATGTCCCAGGCTTACCTTAATATCCACAACAAACCCAGTCACTCTCCCAAAATGCCAACTGCCTATTTTCAGCTCAATGCTTCAGATAGCTTATGTACACTTAACAGCATACGTTAGCTTTCTCACTGTAAAGGGAAAAGCTTATAATAAGCCCTTTTTGCCACCAGGTTGCAATTGCCAAAGATAGTGGCTATGGGCAAAGAGCTATTTCTGCAACACCCAATATTGATTCTCTCAGCTCAGGAACAGCCAAGGAAAATGAGAAGCGGTTAGGACACCATGCATTTCCAGCGGTGGCAGTGACTGCTGGAGTCTCCTGACAGTATGAAACAGAGAAGCCTTCAGCTTTATGTCAGGGAGCTGGAAGAATGCCAAGGGCCCTAGGATCAGGGGAGTATAAGGCGAGCTTAAAAAAAGAAAAAAATCTCAAAGAATGTTAGTTGTGGGAGCTGCTATGAATAAAAAGGGTGAGTGAGGTTTAGGTTTCTGTGAAAT